AAAGTTTATATAGAAGAGCAAAGGGCCTGTAACAACCACAATAATCTTAAAAAAAAAAAAAAAAAAACAAGCAAACAAACCAAAAAACCCAGAAGACTCACATTACTTGATTCCAAGTCACATGGTACTGGCATAAGGAGACAGCAATACACGAGAGTCCCAGAAACAGACCCTACCTATACAGATGACTGATGATTGAAAAGGTTGCCATAGCAATTTGGTGGGAAAAGGGAAAGTTTTGAACAGATAGTGCTGGAACAACTGGACGTCTACAGTTTTTAAAACATTAAGCACATTCTCTCACTGTATAAAAATTAATTCCAGATGGATTGCAGACCTAAATTGAAAAGTAAAAACTGAAAATCTTCTGGAAAAGTGTTTATAAAGTTAAACATACATCTACATATGTCTACTATATGACTCAGCAATTCTACTCCTTGATATTTACACAAGGGAAATCAGCAAACTGTGGCATATGTATGTTAAAATTCTATACAGCATAAACAGGAGTGAACTACTGACACATACAGTACAGATGAATCACAAAAACTTTATGCTGAGTGAAAGAACCAGATAAAAAAGTATGTATTCTCTATGATTCAACTTGTGTGAAGTTTCAGAACAGGCAAAATTAATCTAAGGTAAATAAACGTAGTTGTCTTGTTGGGGATTGGGAGACAGATGGGGAATCCTTAGGGGAATGAACAATTTCTATGAGCCAACAAGAATGTAGGTTCCATGAGGCGTGTGTATTTAGTGTACAGACGTGTATACTTACAGTGTGCACTTCACTGTATGAATATTACACCTCAATGAAAACATTTTTAAACCTGTTAAAAATCACTGATCTCATTATTTGGCGAGAACAAAAATTTCTAGGTCATTAGAGTTTGCATGCTGAACTTTTTAAGATAAAGTAGTTACTCCTGTCGTTCTCTTATCCTCATTTATCCCAGAACTGTCAGACTCTAAATTCTTTCCAATCTGGTAGACACAAAGTAGTTTCTTGTGCCTTCAATTTGCACTTCCCACCATTCCTAATGAAAAGGATCTTCTTTTTTATAAATGTTTAATCATTTGTTATCCCCTTTTCCTGTGAAACATTTCTTCATAAACTTTTCTACTGTTTTGTTAGTTTTGAGGTCTTTTTTTAAATGTAATTTTTATTATTTTTTAAGATTTTATTCATTTGGAAGGCAGAGCAAGAGGTGGGGGGATCTATCCACTTCCTCATTCCCAAATGGCTACAAGAGCCAGGCTGAGCCCGCTGGATCAGGAGCCAGAACTCCATGTTGGCCTCCCAGTGGGCGGCAAGGACTTGAGTACTTGAGCTATAATCTGCCTTCTCTGAGGATGCACACTAGCAGGAAGCTGCAGCAGAAGCAGAGGAAGTACTGGAACCTAGGCGCTCTGATATGGGATGTGGGCATCCCAAGGGGCAGTTTAATGGCTGTGCCACATGCCTACCCTCCTAGATTTAGAGTCTTGTGTAAGCAATACCCCCTGGAAAGAGGTCAAAAGGACATTGTTTGACATTTGCTTCCAGAATGGCCTTTAAACCTTTAATATATCTGGAAATGATTTTTGCATATAATGTGAGATAGGGATCTAACTGCATTTTTTCTCTGTCACAGATACTAATTTTCCTAGGACAATTTATTAGTTCCATCTTTTCCCTAATGGTCTGCAACGGCATCTCTGCTGTATACTTGGTTTCCACATGAGTGAGGTTATTCTTGACTATATTCCATTCCTTTCTTATCATTCTTTAGCCACACAAATACCACAGTATCTCAATTCCAACAGCATTATACTTGGTTTCAATATCCAGCAGAACAAGACTCTCCCCTCAGTCTTTGTCAAAACAGTTTTGCTGTTCTTGATCCTTTGCTTTTCCACATAAACTTTATGATCAACCTCTTTATTTAAAAACCTATTACATATTTGACTCATCATTCATGTGTCTCCAAGACAATGTACTTTAAACACTATAAACTACATGTATTCCTTCCTAATTTACCAGGTATTGTTCTGATGGATTTTAATCCTTTACGTATATATATTTAAACAACATGAAGCATTATTATTAGTTTATATAATGTTCATGTGGATTTATCTACAAGTTTGCCATCTTTTTTTCCCCCAAAGATTTACTTACTTATTTATTTGAAAGGCAGACTGACAGGGAGAGAGAAAGGGAGAGAGTTCTTCCATCCATTAGTTCACACTCCAAATGGCTGCAAAGGCTGGGGGCTGGTCAAAAGCCAGGAGCTCAGAACTCCATCCAGGTCTCCCATGTGGGTGGCAGGGGCCCAAGGACTTGGGGCACCCTCCGCTGCTTTCTCAGGGGCATTAGCAGTCTGCTGGACAAGCAGAGCAGCTGGGACTTGAACTGGCATTCTGATACAGAATGCTGGCATCACAAGTAGCAGATTAACCCGCTGTGCCATGACACCAGCCCTGTATTTAGCACCTTCATTGCTCTTCATGCCTCCCTGCACCTCGAACCTTCCTGCTGTCTGAATAATGCCCAGTAAGTGTTCCCTTTAGAGAGTGGCTCTACCAGCAACAAGTTGTATATCTGTTGAGTCTTGAAATATCTATTCCTCAAAAAATTTTTCTAAAGCAGAGAATTCTAGATTGCAGTTATTTTCTTTTAAAACCTTAACTCTATCAGTCTGTTGTTTTCTTGATTCAGCACTTTCAGCTGCAAAGTTAATTACCACTTTAATTGTATGTGAATGTGATTTTTATTGCATTTTTATGTTTTTATTGTATTTATTTATTTAATTGTATGTGAATATGATTTATGTATCTGGCTGCTTATAAGATTTTATTTTTGTTTCATTGTTTACTTTGCTTGAGAGGTGTGGATATAGCTTTATTTATAATTATCCTGCTTGAGTTTTCAGAGCTTCATAAGTCTGTGGTGTGACTTACCTTTTCATCAGTTTTAGAAAATTCTCAGCCATTATATCATTAGCTATTGCTTCTGCCTTGTTCTCCTCTTCTTTCCCTTTTGAAACTCCAATTACACATAAGTTAAACCTTCTCACTTTTCCTGTTTTCTAAATTTATTATCATTTTGTCTTTTCAGTGGCTTACCTGGTTTCTCTTGCTAGTTCACAAACACCCATTGAGTTATAAATTTCAGTTACTGTAATTTTGCTTGGTTCTTTCTCAAATCTGCTTTGTCATTTTATGGTTTCCAATGCTTGTTGAAAATTTTTTTAAAGATTTATTTATTACTTCAAAGATGGAGAGATGAGAGTGGGAGAGGAGGAGGAAGCAAGGAAGGGAGAGAGGGACATAGGGAGGGGAAGCGGGGGAGGGAGCACAGAGGGAAGGTTCATCCTCTGGCCCATGCTTCACATGGCTACAACTGCCAGGACAGGTCAGGCTGAAGCGAGGAGCCCAGCACTCCATCCAGGTCTCCCATGTTAGTGGTAGTGGTGCAAGCACTTGGGCTATCTTCCACTGCTTTCTTAGAAGCACTGGCAGGGACTTGGATTGGAAGCAGAGTAGCTAGGATTGAACCAGTGCTTCTGTATGGGATGCTGGGTATTGTAGATGGTAGTTTATCAGCTCACTGCACACAACAGAGGCTCCTCTGCTGAAATTTTCAACCCTTTAAAAATATTCTTAATCACAGCAAGCATAATCATTTTAAAATCAGTCTATTCAAACTAGTACATAGCTGTGAGAATGTCCATATAGTCTGTTTTATATGGTATTTTTTGTTTACAGGGTCTTACTTTCTTCTGCCTGGTCATCTTTGATTGAAAGTTGCTCACTGCAGTGAAGAAGAAATATTTGTAGAAATAATTTGGGGACCCTGGGGATATTAGTACTTCAGGAATATTTCAGGCCAATTTCAGGCCACCTAGACATGCTGGAGCAGAGTTGTAATCTGGTTTCCTTCCTCCCTTCCTCCTTTCATTCCTTCCTTCCTTCTTTCTTTCTAAGATTTATTTATTTATAAGTCAGAATTACAGAGAGAGAGAGAGAGAGAGAGAGAGAGATCTTTTATCTGCTAGTTCACTCCCCAAATGTTCACAATGGCAGGGCTTGGCCAGGCCAAAGCCAGGAGCCAAAAGCCTCCTCCAGGTCTCCTACATGGGCAGGGGCCCAAGCACTTGGGCCATCTTCTACTGCTTCTCTAGGCCATAGCAAGGAGCTGGATCAGAAGTGGAGCAGCTGGAACTTGAACCGGTACCCATTTGGGATACTGGCACTGCAGGTGGCAGCTTAACCCACGACGTCACAGCGCTGGCCCCTCTACTCTTGGTAGGCCTTGAACCCTAACTTTGATTGCCTTAGCTCCAGAAGGGTGGCTGTCAAAGGCATAGTCTCCAAACTATCTTTTCTGGAATCCAAAATGCCCTCAGAAGAAAGGAGTCTGAATTCCCTGGATTTAAGTCTACACATGGATTTCAACTGGTGATTTTTAGTGTCTTACTAGTTCTCTAATGCATTTGTGTATCTCTCTCTCTCTCTCTCTCTTTTTTTTTTTTTTTAATATTCTACCTAGTCTTTCCTGTAAATATTTATTTATTTGAAAGACAGAGTGACAGAGAAAACTTCCATTGCTAGTTCACTCCCTGAATAGCTGCAACAGCCAGGGCTGGGCCAGACCAAACACAGGAACCAGAAAGTTCATTTGGGTCTCCCACGCGGGTGGCAGGGGCTCAGATACTTGACTTATCACCTGCTGCTTCCTAGGCATATTAGCAGGAGGTTGGCTCAGAAGTGGACTATCCGTGACTCCAACTGGCACACCAATATGGGATGCAGGCATCCCAAGCATCACGAGGCTGGCCTTATCTACTTTTTTTCTTATTTTATTCTGCAGAATAAAATGGTCCAAATGATCTATTCTGCCAATATTGTAAGTGGACATCTATATACTACTTTACTTAAGGTTATGACAATTTTCCCATGATGTTTTTTCAAAAAACATATTAAATTACATTATCATTCCTTATAGAAAGCATGCTCACCTGTTGTTCTAGGATCATATTCTTTTCCCGCTCTACATTGAGAACCATTCTCTTTGTATATTCCAGTTGCTTTTCGAGAAGAGTACAACGAGACTGTGCTGAGCTTAACTGTATACTTATATCTATGAACAAGAAAAAATAATGAGTCAGTTGATTATCACATATCTGGTTATCATGAGAAACGCATTAGGTAATTTAATCAAGAACAGAAAGTTCAAGGCTTCTTTTAGCTGTCAGTACTGACTCTTGAGAGTTATGAATATACATGCTGTATCTTTCTTTTTTTAAGATTTTATTTATTTATTTGAGAGACAGAGTTACAGACAGTGAGAGGGAGAGACAGGGAGAAAGGTTTTCCACCTGCTGGTTCACTCCCCAAATGGCTGCAACAGCCGGAGCTGAGCTGACCTGAAGCCAGGAGCCAGGAGCTTCTTCCAGGTCTGGGTGCAGGAGCCCAAGTGTCTAGGCCATCTTCTACTTTCCCAGGCCATAGCAGAGAGCTAGATTGGAAGAGGAACAGCCAGAACTAGAACCGGTGCCTACATGGATGCCAGCACTGCAGGCAGAAGATTAACCTACTGAGCCACAGCGCTGGCCCTCATGCTGTATCTCATTAACTATCTGTTACTGATTTAACTTTGCCTTCCCTCAAAACCCAGAGGGCATATTTCTGAAAGAGGAGGATGACAGTGACTTGCAAGATGTTCTGGGAAATAACAAGGTTTATGAGGGTACTTGAAGAAGTCATGGAAAACAGAATTAAAAGACGAGCTTATTTGGGTACAAAACAATTTTGAAACCTATTTTATCAAGTCTCTTACCTATCAATACATTTCTTCTCTTCCAGGAAACTCAGGAATATGCAATTCCATTATTCCCATTTTCCTTTGCTTTTGACTACTGACAGCAAGTTACCTTCACAGAGATAAACAATGTTTTTCTTTCTTTTTTTTTAAAGATTTATGTATTTATTTGAAATCAGAGTTATACAAAGAGAGGAGAGGAAGAGAGAGAGAGAGAGAGAGAGAGAGAGAGAGAGAGGTAGGTCTTCCATCCACTGGTTCACTCCCCAATTGGCCGCAATGGCCACAGCTGCACAGATATGAAGCCAGGAGCCAGAAGCCTCCTCTGGGTCTCCCACGTGGGTGCAGGGGCCCAAGGATTTGGGCTATTTTCTATTGCTTTCCCAGGCTACAACAGAGAGTTGGAAAGGAAGTGGAGCAGCCGAGTCTCGAACCGGAGCCTATGGGATATTAGCACTGCAGGCCAGGGCGTTAACCTGCTGCACCACAGCGCCGGCCCCTAAACAACATTTTTCTAATCCTTTAACATTTTACTTCCCTCAGCTCTAATTTCATCCAATTATCTCAGAATTTTTTTCTCCCCATCTTTTATTCTACTTATAAGCTGAAACACAAATTCAAGACTTATTTATAAGTTTATATGTTACAAGAAAAGAAAAAGTCCCAAGTGTTGAAGTAAAATTCTATAGAGCATACCCTCCATATTTCTTTTTTTTTTAATTTTTATTTATTTATTTATTTATTTTTGACAGGCAGAGTGGACAGTGAGAGAGAGAGACAGAGAGAAAGGTCTTTCTTCCTTTACTGTTGTTCCACCCTCCAACGGCCGTTGTGGCGCACCGCGCTGATCCGCGCTGATCCGCGCTGATCCGAAGCCAGGAGCGAGGTGCTTCTCCTGGTCTCCCATGGGATGCAGGGCCCAAGCACTTGGGCCATCCTCCACTGCACTCCCGGGCCACAGCAGAGAGCTGGCCTGGAAGAGGGGCAACCGGGACAGAATCCAGTGCCCCAACCGGGACTAGAACCTGGGGTGCCGGCGCCACAGGCGGAGGATTAGCCTAGTGAGCCACAGCGCCGGCCATGCCCTCCACATTTCTAAAACTTGTGTCCAGATGTCGCTTCCTAATTTCCACAGATGCCACAACCTACCTATTTCCTCTAATTAACCTTGTTTTCCTTTCAAAGTAGATAAATTATTTTTGAATCACTTTGTTTCTTATGTCATTTAATTTCTAGTGTCACTTTATATTTCAAATTTTGAAAATCAGTATTAACAAAAATGTAAAGCATCTCAATTATATTATGGGTTAAATTGGATTTTGTTGGTTATTCTGAAAATATTTTAATTTCTATATACAATGTCTAAAATTTAATTTTTCTTTTAATCTGAAGAATTTATAAACTAAGATAATAGGTATAATAGCAGTAAATTCAAAGTTACATTCATTTTCTGCAAATAAAGAAACATCTGAGAACAAGGTCTGAATGTCTATTAGAACAAAGGTATTTGAGTAAATCTACTGAAATTCATTGTTTCAAATTGTAAACTATGGTAACCCCTCATTTCTAAGAACTACTGTTTTTGTTTGCGTGCTTTTACCTTTTTTCTGCTTTATCAGTTCCTGGTGTGCCAGATTTCTTTCATTTGTTTCATTCTGCAAGGCCTTTTTATACTGTGCCGCTTCTCTGGAAAGAATGTTCAGGTTATCTTCAGCTTGTGTTCTCTCGAGCTCTAAACGATGGATCTTTTCCTGAAGAGTTCTTAAGGCTAAAATAAGAGCTGTTGAAAAAAAATTGTTTGATGCTTTGAGTGAAAACTTTTGAACATTTACAATTACAGTAACATAAAAAAAGAGCAATACATTTTGTTAGGGAGTCAAAAATTATTCAAGTAACAAATATTTGTCAAAATAATGGAGAATAAGGACTAAAATTCTAAAGAGGAACAAATTTTCTCCAACATATCTTGTTAAAAAAATATGTGTATGACTGTATTTAGTCATTTCTAGGATGGAGATAGCGAATGAACACAATTGAAGAAGATAAATATTTCCTAAATGTAAGATAATGCCTGATCTAGGAGGCAGAGGAGTCTGAGTACAGATGAAGAAAATTAAAACGTACAATCCACTAGTTAACATGGCAATTTGGTTCAAAGCTAAAGGTTTTTTTCCGTTCTTGTGCTCATTTTTAGTCAAAGTACAACCATATATTAAATTGTCCAAGAAATTGTGATAAAAATATAGACAGATAAGATCAGTTTCTTTCATTAGAAAAATGATTAAAATGTAATGGTTTTCTGATGCCAGTAACATACATGTGCTACTGTGATTTTTACTCAATTTACTAATAATATCTTCCTGACTCAGCTAAGTCCAAAGTTAAAAATCTTCAAATACACGGGGCCACATTGTGGCGTAGCAGTTTGGGTTGCTGCCTGCGACACCAGCATCCCATATGGACCCTGGTTCAAGTGAGTCTTGGATGCTCCATTTCTGATCCAGCTCCATTAACGGGCCTGGGAAAGCAGCGGAGGACGACCCAAGTGCTTGGGCTCCTGCACCCACACAGGAGACCTGGAAGAAGCTCCTGGCTCCTGGCTTTTGCTGGCCCAGCTCCAGCCACTGCAGCCATTTGGGAAGTGAACCAGCAGATGCAAGATCTCTCACTCTCTCTCTCTGTCTTTCAAATAAATAAATCAATCTTTTTAAGAAATTATTTTCAGGGCTGGCACCGTGGCTCACTAGGCTAATCTTCTGCCTGCAGCGCCGGCACCCCGGGTTCTAGTCTCAGTTGGGGCACCGGATTCTGTCCCGGTTGCTCCTCTTCCAGTCCAGCTCTCTGCTGTGGCCCAGGAGTGCAGTGGAGGATGGCCCAAGTGCTTGGGCCCTGCACCTGCATGGGAGACCGGGAGGAAGCACCTGGCTCCTGGCTTTGGATCGGCGCGGTGCACTGGCCGTAGCAGCCATTTGGGGGGTGAACCAACGGAAGGAAGACCTTTCTCTCTGTCTCTCTTTCTCTCCCTAACTCTGCCTGTCAAAATAAATAAATAAAAAGAAATAAAGAAATTATTTTCAGATACTATTTTACACTTTCTATTCAGTTATAAGTTCAAACTATAAAACTAGCGATGAATGGAATGTAAATATTATAAATTAACTTTCATATAGTTGTTATCCAATTAGAAAGAAGTTTGCTAGACATTTATCATTTGATTTTTACAAATGAGATAAAGATCATATTTATTGCTTTTCACACAGATTCTGTAGCTGGCTCATTAACTGGACTATTATTTCTTGTGGCTTATTCCACAAAGCTAGATGATAACCATTATTATAGCATATTAAAAATGAGGAAAAAATTAGTGTTTATGAAAGTATTCTGTATGGTATTAAGTTATGCCTAGAGCCATAAATATTTTCCTAATCCCATTTTAAGATTCTCCTAAGTGCATATTTAAAGTCACAATATTAGTATTTTGTAGTTACTTGGATATACTGGCTTCCTAAAGGATTTTCACAGATAATTTGGATATATGCAATTTCTGAACCTAATCTTTGAGTAAGACACAACTTCATTTAATTCCCTAGCATTCTAATCAACTAGTTCAGAATGATTCCAAATCTGATCTTTCATTCTCCAGAGTATTTTCATGTTTTGTAATGATGTTTTTATGATAAACCTGTGATATGTACCCAACTGGTTATTTTAATCTTCATAGCTAAAGAAGTTAAAATTAAAAATATTGACTTGTCTAAGTTCATAGAAACTTAGCAATAGAAGTGACATGAAGAATCTAGAATTAAATACACATACAATTTTCTACATAAAAGTGATTTTTTTTTTTATTTTTATTTTTTTTTGACAGGCAGAGTGGACAGTGAGAGAGAGAGACAGAGAGAAAGGTCTTCCTTTGCCGTTGGTTCACCCTCCAGTGGCCGCCGCGGCCGGCGCGCTGCGGCCGGCACACCGCGCTGATCCGATGGCAGGAGCCAGGAGCCAGGTGCTTTTCCTGGTCTCCCATGGGGTGCAGGGCCCAAGCACCTGGGCCATCCTCCACTGCACTCCCTGGCCACAGCAGAGGGCTGGCCTGGAAGAGGGGCAACCGGGACAGAATCCGGCGCCCCGACCGGGACTAGAACCCGGTGTGCCGGCGCCGCTAGGCGGAGGATTAGCCTAGTGAGCCGCGGCGCCGGCTAAAAGTGATGTTTTTATAACATACTTTGTACCATTCCTCTAATTTTATATTATATATTATATATTTTATATTACATATTTATATTACCTATAAAATGATATATTATATACACAATATATAATATATATTACATATATTATATACATAATATATATATTACACCTTTTCGACTCATCTGTATTTGTTACAGCCTTTTAAAGAAAAATGACTTGGGCACTACATTTCCATCCACGAACCTTGGTGGCTTACTTTTAAGAGCTTTACAACACACCTCAGTAGGTTTATAATTTTGTTCCCCTTAACAATACTTTGGAAAACAAGCCTTGTGGAGAGTTCTTCCCTTAAGTTGTTTCAGTTTAACCTATTTCTAGAGGATAAATACATGCAGGTACAGTAACTATAGGGGAAGTTTAAAAGGTTATAAGATGAAATTCAAGCCATTTTAACAAGTATTTTTCTCTTAAACACGAAGGTTTAGCTCAGAACTTCAGTGACAAAAAGATCTGTTCTAAGGGGTCTGGCTTGACAGCTAGACACTTTAGACCACATAGTTAATGATAGGTTACACACATCTCACAGCAAACGTTACCCACTTTGTTATAAACCAATGTGAAAATTTTGGATTAATATTACCTTGGCTATTCGGGCTTTGAAGCACTTTAGAAGAGGTAACTTCTTCGTTCACAGGGTAGTGATTCTGAAGTGACTCATTCTGGGTGAATGATGCAATAAACCCTCTTTCTGGTGGTCTAAGATAGCTTCCCACTATACTATGCATTAATTCAGAATCCATTATCTGTAAAGAATAAAGGAATGATATAGCATAGTGTCATTCTTTCCTATTTGAAGAACAAAAACGTACAAAAATTTGGGTGAAATTAACATAACAGCATAATCATATGCTGTAGCCTTATATCTTCATAAACATAAATTCAACTATAATAAGCTCTGCAATAAATGAGTATTTACTATGTAAACAGAATGGACAGTTTCTCAATAAACATATACTCCGGTGTAAGCATGAATGGGTGACATGAACTTGCTGATTTCTCAGTAACTATTTTTTTTTTTTTTTTTTTTTTTTTTTTTTTTTTTGACAGGCAGAGTGGACAGTGAGAGAGAGAGACAGAGAGAGAAAGGTCTTCCTTTTGCCGTTGGTTCACCCTCCAATGGCCGCCGCTGCAGCCGGCGCACCGCACTGATCCTGGCAGGAGCCAGGAGCCAGGTGCTTTTCCTGGTCTCCCATGGGGTGCAGGGCCCAAGCACCTGGGCCATCCTCCACTGCACTCCCTGGCCATAGCAGAGAGCTGGCCTGGAAGAGGGGCAACCGGGACAGAATCCGGTGCCCCAACCGGGACTAGAACCCGGTGTGCCGGCGCCGCAAGGTGGAGGATTAGCCTAGTGAGCCACGGCGCCGGCTCATGTAACTATTAAGTTCCACATTACCTATCGTAGTTTCAGTACCTCTCCACAACCCGTGTGATTCTAGGGTTTAAAGAGAAAGTACATAATCTAAAACATAATACAGTTTTTAAACACAAGCCAACAATATAATGTGATTCTCTAATATCGACTCATTGGCCTCTGACGTTCTGGCTTCCTAAAAGACTTTCAAGGGTAATTTTGGGTGCGTGAAATTTCTGAATCTAACCCTTGAATAAGATACATCTCTACTTAATTCAAAAGCATTCTAACCATCTAGTTTAGAAAGGTTCCAAATCTGAAGATTCTTCTAAAGTATCCTTATTTTTGTTTTTCTCTCTTTTTAGTAGTATAGCTTTTAAAATAATTTTAGCAGGTAATTTTTTATCTAACTCTTCCAAATCATTTTATTTTCCTCCCACAATTGAAATATTTTAGAAACATATCCTTAATAGATTCTAGCCAATGTTAATTAAATTTTTTCAGAACCACAATGGAAGAAACAAGGTAACAATTCTTCACATAAAAAAAAAAACTCACTGGCACAATTTTAAGCAAGAAAGCAAAATTTGAAATATAAACCCAATATTTGCATTATAAAAATAGCCTATTTTGATTTTTTTAGAATTGGGCATTTTCCTTGATTCCATTTACAAGGAAGGCACTTCCCATGACAGTACTTCTGGAAGGGCAGGGGGAAGACTTCATGCCCTAGGGCTGTTTTGCTTTAATCATTGCCATGATTGGTCATTCTGACTGGTGTAAATGAGAGGCTATATAGACCTAGAAAGTCTGTTGAAATACTTGGAGCTCTTGCTATTGTTATTAGCACTAGATATCATCTACTGATCATTTCTCCATCCCTCCAAGGTGCTGCTGCTCTGACAGTGTTTGTTCCCATGGGACCCTGCATCTATCCAAGTTGCTATTCCTTCAAAAAAATAAGAGATCAAAGTTAGTCATGTCTGGCTCATTATTGAGTGAAGGTAGGGCCTCCACTTACGTATGAGGTACCTAAGTTCTGAAGATGGTTTTACATCTTCAGGGAGAAGGATGTGTTTGAAGCTATCTCAAGGACATTGGAGCTACTAAGCTCTCTGCTCAGTTCTCAGCTCCTGAAGACTTTCTCCAACAGCACAAAGAATGACATTTTGCCATTAGTTGCTATACACTGCAGTCCTTGAAAGGATTCTGCTTCTTCCAACCCACTATAATATTATTGTATAAACTGGATTGTGTATCAGTTAAAAATGGCTCAAATTTGAGTTTTTTAAATGTATATGAAGTAATACCCAGTAAGATTACTGATAAGTTACAAATTATACTGCATATTTAAATTAACTGTATAAATACATAATACAGTGGTCATAAGTAGAGCAACAACTCACTGAGAAGATACAAATAAGGTAAGGAGAAAGAAAAGAAACAATAAGAAATGAGAGAAGACAGGCTGTGCTGTGACGTACAGCTCAAGGGTTCGCACTGCAGTGCGGTCTCAGCTTAACCTTACAATCTGGTCCTGTGTCATGAACAAGTACGTAAGCTCACTAGCAGTTTATCTGCATAAAGAACAGATGCACCCTGGGGGAAAACTCACTTTGAAGGAAGATGAAATATGTGCAAAAAAAAAAAATTGGATCCAAAAAAAGCCTACTTGTTCAAGAAGGGACGGTATCCTGAGTACAGTACAGGGATGTTCATTCTAATTTATCTCTGACCTAGTTCCATGGACTCATACATTGGTTCTAGGAAGAGAGAGGGATACAAATGAAAACTTAGAAATATTTCAGCAGTATCTCTTTTAAAAAATGTGGCATCAGCTCCCTGCTTTAAGACATTATATTCCAACAGAATGAGAAGTTGTCCGAGACCCACTAACACAGCTTGGGCATCTTGAGGGTTCTTGGGCATGGTAAGGGAGCAAGATGAGACAGAGAGATAGACACAGAGGGAGAAAGAACATCACTAGAAGGAACATAGTCAAAAGCATGTATGAAAGAAATTTCTAGAGAAACTTTTGACAATAAAGAAGACTACCTAACCCCAATCTCTACTCTGGTATGCCTGACATGGGGCCTCACTAGTGGGTAGCTGAAGAGACCTCAGGAATTGCTGTGGAACATTTTCATTTTATGTGTCTGCAAGAGGGGACAAAAGCTTGCAAAATGTGGGTCTCATTTGGATCAAGGCTGGTAAAACCTAGGGAAACACAATTTATTGTTGGAACCATTCCTGACAGCTTGTGAACAACCAGGGAAATTACCCACAGTCTCCACGGGCTATAAAATTATGTGACCTTAACAGCTGCAACTAAGGAGAAACCACATAAAGCAACTATCCTTCAGGATAGAAATACTGTGCTGTAAAGATTGTCACTCCTTCTGGAAGAAAATACATATTGCGTAATTCCATGAGACTATTAGGGAGATGTCATTAGGAGGCAGTCAGAGATAGTATAACAGATTCTTAGAATAGGGGAATCTCCATTTCCTAAAGAATGAAGTCTTCCATGTTTGGATTTTTTTTTTTCCTTAGAGAAACCAGAGAAAGCAATAACTCAGTTTCTTTTATCTGAGGTTTTTTCTTTGTGTATGCATCTTGCTCACCTTAAGAGCAAATACAGTAAAGGTTGGGCTAACCAATAGATACTTCTTTAAAAACTACTCTTACAACTGAGGATAACTTATGGTCAAGGAACTTCAACGGGATTCAACAAATGATTCATTAGGTGATCATTCAATAAATGATGTTATAAAAATTTGAGAAAAAATCCAGTTAAGCCTTCATTTCAGTCCATACATCAATACAAACTTCAGATACATTAGGTTTAAAAAAATTTTTTTAAGTAATTTTATGAAAATCAGTGAAGAGGGGCCGGTGCTGTGGTGTACCAGGTTAAAGCCCTGGCCTGAAGTGCTGGTATCCCATAAGGGTGCCAGTCCTACTCCCAGCTACTCCTCTTCTGATTCAGCTCTCTGTTATGGCCTGGGAAAGCAGTAGAAGATGGTCCAAGTCCTTGGCACCCACATGGGAGACCCAGAAGAAGCTCCTGTTCCTGGCTTTGGATCGGTGCAGCTCCGGCTATTGTGGCCATCTGGGGAATGAACCAGCAAATGGAAGACCTCTCACTCTGTTTCTACCTCTCTCTGTAACTCTGTATTTCAAATAAATAAAATAAATCTTTAAAAAAAAATAAATAAAAATCAGTGAATATTTAATATTACAATGGTTAAGATATTTTATGTTTAAAAGTAGAGGAAAAGATAGCAAAAGCTACATTAAAATTAATACTGTAACACAAAAAAAATTAAAAGGCAAAACCAAAAAAAAATTTACAATGTAGGATAAAGGGTTAAAATCATTAATACTGAAAGAGCTTTTATAAATAAAAATACTAACATCAAAATTAAAAAATGGTAAAGGGCTATAAAGTATTAATTCACAGAAGGATGTAGTCAATGAACAATAAGTTCAAGAAGCAGTTATATCCAGATTCAAAAGTAAAGCCTATGGAGTTGAACCTCAGCTCAAATCCTAGCTCTCTCACTATCCTTTGACCTTCTGAAAACTTTACTTCTCTTGGTTTCAACTTTTTTCTTTAAGATTGTAATATCCTATGAGGTCTCTGCAATGACATAAAATGAGAAGAGTTATTTAAACCACTTAACACAGTTTATAAATGCAAAGTATTCACTTTCTGTAAGCAAAACATGTTATTCTGAATGTCCAGAATCTATGAAGGAGGAGCTATTTTTCAGTTCTCAAGTATATTCCATATGTTGATTTGCTTTTAAAAAGAATTATAAACAGGCTACTAAAAAATTTAAATCCTTTTTCTACCTATCACATGTAACCATTTTTATAATTCCTCTAAACCTAAAAAGGCTCCTCCATGTAAAAATGAAGAGCAAGATCAGTCTACTCATACTCATAGCTGCTTAGGGACTCCACATGCAACAGGATCAAGAGCAAACTGTACTCCTGCCAAGATGATGATATACAGTCCTAGTCTGACTCTTGGTAATACTTCCTTCCTCACAGGCCATAAATGCTGACTTAATAGTTTCATCATATCCTCACTATTGTTATTTTACTTATTGGAGAATGACAGAGAGAGAGAAGCAGAGATCTTCCACCCACTGGTTCACTCCCCAAATGTGCACAGCAGTCAAGGCCCAGCCCAGCTGAAGGCAGGAGACAAGAACTCCATTCGCATCTCCCACATGGGAGGCAAGCACTCCAGTATCCAAGTCATCATCAGCTGCTTCTCAGGTGCTAATAATAGCAGGAAGCAGCAATGGAAGGGAGCAGCCAGGATCCAACCAGGTACTCCAGTATGGGATGCGGATATTCCACGTGGCAGCTTAACCCACT